GCTCTTCTCTGAACTTTTTCCAAGGTCTCAACATCTTTTTTCTGTTGACCAAAACTGGTTGCAGTATTCCAGGTGTGGTCTTACTAGGGTTTTATAAAGCGATAGTAATACTTCACATGATCTTGATTCTATGTCTCTGCTTATGCAACCCAGGATTGTATTAGTTTTTTTGGCTGCTGCTGTACATTGCTGGCTCATAGTCAAGTGATCATCCACTAGGACTCCAAGGTCCCTCTCACAGTTATTGTTTTTGAGCCAGATCTCACCTAATCTGTACCTATATCTTTGATTTTTCCTGCCTAAATGTAAAACTTTGCTTTTCTCCACATTAAAACTCATTTTGTTGGATAGGGCCCATTGTTCCAGTTTGTCAGGATCTTTTTGAATTCTAAGCTTGTCTTCTGGGGTGTTGGCTATTCCTGTCAGTTTAGTGTCATCTGCAAATTTGATGAGTTCCCCTTCTATTCCCTCATCTTTGATGAAGATATTGAAGAGTACCGGGCCTAAGACAGAGCCTTGTAGTACTACACTGCTTACTTCTCTCCATGTGGATGTAGCACCATTAAGGACTACTTGTTGAGTTTAGTTTGTCAGCCAGCTACAAATCCATCTGGTGGTGATATTGTCTATTCCACCTTTTTCTAGCTTACCAAGCAGTAGATTGTGGTCTACTTTGTTGAATGCCTTACTGAAATCTAAGTATAATATGTTCACAGCGTTTCGCTGGTCTACTAATTTGGTCACTTTATCAAAGAATGAAATAAGATTGGTTTGGCATGGTCCGTTTTAACAAACCCATGCTGGCTACCAGTTATAACTTTGTTTGCTTCTAGTAGTTCACAGATCTGTTTTTTTATTAACTTTTCCAGGATCTTCCCAGGTATTGATGTTAGACTGGTCTGTAGTTTCCTGGGTCTGGTTTTTTTTTCCTTTCTTGAAGATGGGAACCACATCAGCCCTTTTCCAATCCTCAGGTACTTCCCCGATGCTCCAGGATTTTTGAATGATATGGTGCAATGGTTCTGAGATAACATCTGCCAGCTCCTTCAGGACTCTGGGATGTAATCTGTTGGGTCCAGGTGATTTATATTCATCAATGTCAGATAGGTGTTACCATTTTCTTGCTTATTTTAATTTTTGTTTCTAGTTTTTCTTTTGCAGTATTTTTTTTATGTTGTGCTATAATTTCTTTTTGTGTGAAGACTGATGCAAAGAATGAGTTAAACAGCTCTGCTTTCTCCCTATTGCTTGTTACTTCCTTGCCATCTTCTCTCTTTAGTGGACCTACAGTTTCCTTGACTTTTTTCTTGTTATTAATATGTTGAAAAAAAAACTTTTTTTATTATCCTTAATTTCTGTTGCAAGTCTTTGTTCATTCTGAGCCTTTCCTTTCCTGACTTCATCTTTGCATGTTCTGGCTGTCTGCTGATAATCAGCCTTAGTTATGTGTCCCTCTTTCCATTTTTTGTACTTGTCCTTTTTGTCTTTCATTTTGTCTGAGAGATCTTTGTGCAGCCATGCTGGTTTCTTCTTGACTTTCTTGATTAGTTTGAGGCAGCAGGACAGAGGGGTTAGCACGATCTGCAACCCAGCTTAGGTAGATTATGACTGAAACTATTGTACAAATCCACAACACGGTTTTAACTCTGTAACCTAGTTAGACATAATTTTTTAAGACAGGAGATGCAATGGGTCAGTCATCTCACATCATTGAATTTCAATCTGAAAATCACCCTCAAGTTATGTTGATATAAGCAACAGAAGGGAGACCTCCCAACTCTATAGAGTGCAATTCACTAATATTGCAAAAAATAAAAACAAAGAATTAAGGGAAGAGCCCTCCAAGGACTAAGATTATTCCAGATTATTGCAAGCAGCATTGACCATCTATTTCCTACATTTTGTTCTGGACAACAGAATCTGGTTATTATAAATATTTACATATTTGTCTACTGTTATTTTGAAGGGGGGCCCTTAAGATCTCCATCCACAAATTATACTGTTGAAATTGACAAGGGTTCTACTGAATTGGGTGCAATTACTTGTGCCTTTAAAAAAAATCAACTAAGTGGCAAAACTTAGTGTGAATGTGTGAAGACTTTAATAGCTGTAAAATACCTGTTCTACACAACAGAACAGAAACACAACAGAACAGAACACAACAGAAAGCTGGAAATTCCAGCACCTTTCTTTCCTGTGGCATTACTGTTATAGTTCCTCTGGTATTTGGAAATAGGAAAGAAACAGTTTTGAAAGTATGTCTTTTGGAGCAAAATTATTGTCCACCTCTCTCTTAAAGAGAAGCTTCTAAGTTTTCTCTGTTTATAGTCAGAGTGTTTTAATTCTGTCTTCCTAAGCTAATAGAAATGTTCAGTAATTACTGTCAAATCATATATTTGCAGTCTGATTTCACGAGTTGTATCAGTAGACCCTAGAAATGGACACATTTCTATAAGTACTGAGTATTGGAAATCCTGACAGATATAATTGTTCATTATTTAAATCAGTGGGGTTTTTTTTAAAAAAAATTGGCAACGTTGCATATTGGCTGGACAATTTTGGAAGGTGAAATCCACAGATCTTAAAGTTGTTAAGTTTGAAAAGCAGTGAGTTAAACCCTATTTATTATTTATTTGTCACAATTACTTTTTTAAGGTTGGCTCAAAGAGTGAATCAGGCAAAGCTGAGAGACGTTCATTTGCAATAATGTCTAAACAGCATCCTCTGGTGGACAATCAGATTTTGCATTTATAGTTGGTAAGAATTGAAAATCTATTTTCATTTCACTGAACTGTATAGTGCTAATACCAGTGCTTTTTTTCTAAAAAAAAAAAAAAAAAAAGGTGCCATCATACAATCCGCCTTGCCTACCCTACAGTTCCATCCAAAAAAGGTGCCGGAACTCCGTTCTAGGCATTCTATGACAAAAAAAGCCCTGGCTAATACATTCATGAGTACCCTATGTATATAATTATTAATCAAAGGAATGGTATGACATTCATACTCAACACTTAAATTGAAAAGTAAATCCAAAATTATCACTTCTATCCCTCCAAGTCCCAGGGTTAAAGTATTTGCATTCTTATCTAATATCTATATACTCTGTAAATTAAAAGCCAATCAAAGTTAAGTGAAGATTTCAGGGTTATTAAAAACCACTGAACTTTAGGCAGACAGGCGGGAAGACCTAGCTTATTCCATGTGATCAGCCAGAATTTGTCTTGGTCCTTTCATGAAGTTTCTTTATCCAAAGATAATTCCTAGGATAGCAGTCTCTTCAAACTTTGGAACTTCCAGATTTGTTGAATCACAATTCAAATTCTCCAATGTGGGAAAAGTTGTTTTACAATGAATAAAATCATTCACCCATTTAGGCCAAGCCTTATTTTATCCCAAGCTACTTTAATTATGGTTCCTTCATTGAGATGATAACTAACTCCTTAAACTTCATGCTTCCCAGTTGTGCTGAATCACAAATCCCGTCCTCCCTGGCCATCGTGCCATCAGTGAGAAGAGTTTTCTTTTTTCTTTTATATTGGTTTGTATTAGTTCTTGTCTTCTTTTTAAAAAGCCTTTAATAAAATTATGTATGTGTATTTGAAATAAATTAAATCACAAATAATTTGATGACTCTTCATTATTTCTCAATCAGGCTGCTTGGGGTAATCATGATCAAATGGTTGATTGTTTCTTTAGTGTAATAGAAGCAAACAATTAACTAAGCCTATCTTTATTGAGTACTTAATAGGGAGTCTGTAGATAAAAATTAAGGGAACTTAAAAGTGAGAGAAATGGCAGCTGTCAACTGACTAAGAAAGAGAAATAAAAAGAAAATAATCACGTTTATATAAAAGAAATGTATATAAAAGAAATGAAGAGACATTGATAGTTTAAAAGTTTACTTCTGAAAAAGTAAAGTATTATTCAATAAATAAGTATATATTTCAAATTAGAAAACATTTATAATTATTTTATGATGAGATGCTTTTGATAAATGTTTTAATTGCTTGTAAATTGGTCCTCTATAAATTGGGCATTTTATTAAAGTGTATTTATCCACAAAATAACCATAAAAATTATGTCACTTCTGACTAAGTAAACCCAATTCTGCCACTGCAACACCTTTTTTCTTAAATCATTTTGAATTCTAGTGTGCCTCTGTCTTCTAGATTTTTCTTTTGGCCCTGACTCATAGGTTGTACTTTAACCATCCTTAGATATAGTCTATAGTTCCCATTCACTCTTTGCATCTCACTGTTGAATAGTATCACAATTTAATCCCTGCTGATGTTCCACCCAATATTGCCTCTACACATACACACACACACACACACACACACACACACACACACACACACACACCAATCCCATCAACTCAACATGCTAAATTTAAGCAAGGGATAGCAAAAGAGAAGTGGTCTTGTATGTGATGTGAACATACTATGCCCTCCCAATAAAACTTATCATGGTATAATAGGGTAGCTAGATTCATACAGTGCTGAGATTGTGGCTGAGATCCCACAATATTCTAAATCACACGTGACTCTGCTTTAGTCTAGTCCAGTGTACAGCTGAACTCAGCTATGAGGTGCTGCATGGGAGATCCAAAATGGTTGGTTTTACATCTGCTTTCTTTCTCTGTGCTATTTATCTGCTTAAAATCCTCCATTTTTATAGAGGATATTTATTCTTGTACATAAATAATTAGAGATGAAACTGGCATTATAGAATTCAAAGACTGACATACCAACCCCATTTCACCATTAGATTTAACCAGACAGTAACCATAGACACATGCACATGTGTATATATTCATTTTACTGCATTTTTTATCCATGGACTTCCCCTACAATTATGGAATTATGGAACTATTCATCCAGTCATAGGACAGCAGTGATTGCAGGATCACACTTTGACTACTTATTATTTTGGTGAGTTGTTTCTATTTTATTTTTTTTTACACATTCCGTACCTAAACATTATCAAATTCAATTCAATGCTTTTATTTAAGACATGTTTATTGTTTTCTTGTAAAGGGCTCTAGGTTTCTTGGAAGAAGATAGAAATCAAAGAAAAAAAATGGTAAACAGTGAAAGAACCATTTCTATCAATAAGAAAAGTAATAATCATTCTTGATGGACATTTGAAAAATATACAGAGAGCTCCTTTACATTGCCTTCTGCCATTCAAACCAACCCTCCATACAAAACATGTAGTAACAATAGTTTTTGAAGATTACAGCACCACTGTGCAAACAATAGTGATTTTCTAGACTAATTATGCCATTAATTTCCAGTCATTTTCCAACAAACTTTCCGTTATATTACCAGGTCAATAACTGCCCCACAGCTCACTGCTACCCCTGTGTTGTATTTCTTCCATCAAAGCAGTATATTAATGTGGAGAAGCCCACACAACTGAAGACCTTTATTGACTTGACATAAATAGTTTGTGAAATTTATTCCCTGGCCAAATGTTGAACATTCCTCAGCTGCAAGAACACAGTTTTAACTGTCTTGGTATCTGGCATCTGAAGAGGATTTATTGTCGGTCAATAAGCAGCTCACCTTCTAGCAGAAAGATAAAAAAAAAATCACTGTGCCAGTAAATAGTTTCTAAACACACAAATATTTATGATACAAAGGAAGAGAGATAAGATGGTATGGAAACAGTAACTTATCCCCCTATTGAAGTTCAGTAGGGGTTCATTAGTTTTATCTTCTGTTTTGGTCCTTATTTGATAATATATTCCTGGTGTCTTTAATACCACAAGGTATCCAGTTGCAGTAAGCAAGTCAACAGTATACTCTTTTATTACTTTGCCCATCTTTCCTCAGTGCTTCTTATGTCTGAACTTTCTGGTCAGGACACCTACAAAGCAATATCATCTTCTCATCTTTCCAGCATCAATCCAATCATGCCATATCTTGGGAGAGTAGGGTGTCTAGTAGTAAGACCAAAGGGCTATTATCACTTTAAGCCAGTACTAGAGAGGAATGAATGTTGCCAGGCACCCATTGCCCAGCCTCCCTGCCTTTTTTATTGTCCACTTAGCATATCTCTGTTACAAGGCATGCCAGCAACATGAACTAAAACCGAGACACTACAAGTAATTGACTTACAACAGTTCATTTAGTGACCATTTGAAGTTATGGCACTGAAAAAAGTGACTTATGACCATTTTTCACATGACCGTTGCAGCATCCCTATGGTTATGTGATCAAAATTCAGATGCTTGGCAACTGATCATATTTATGAGAGTTGCAAGGTCCCAGGGCCAAGTGTTCATCTTTGGCAACCTTCTGATGAGCAAAGTCATTGGAGAAGCCAGATTCATTTAACAATTGTGTTACTAACAACTGCAATGATTCACTTAACAACTGTGGCAAGAAAGTAAAATGGGGCAAAACTCAGTTAACAAATATCTTACTTAGCAGCAGAAATGTTGGGCTCAATTGTGGACTACCTGTATTTGAGTGCTTATCAACACAGCCAGAGAATTCATATGAATTTAGTTAGCCCTTCTAACCATATTTTTATAAGCACATAACTGCTTTTAAAAAAGCTTGAAAGTTCAAATGCGGTTTTCTGCTTGTAAAGGGGCTTGAGAATGGGATGAGGAAAAGGAGGGGAAAGAAGTTTTTGATCTTTCTTTTTATATATACACAATTTAAGCAATTCCTAAAGTTTGCAAAATATAATTGAAAGCGAATTTGAAGGTACGTATGTTAAAAGGAAGCTTTGAAAGATACATTAGAATTGATTTTAGTTATAGATGAAATTTTTAAAGAAATGTTTAGAGTCTTGACTAGATAAGTGTTTGAAAGAGCATATGATTTTTGTTAATATAGATCGTCATTTAGAAAGATTAATAAATCTAAATAAAAATATGTATCATTTCCCACAATCGGAAAAAGGGGGAAAAAATGGATTTAACAGAATTTAGCAGAATAATAGTTAAGACACGATGTAAACTTTTAAATAAAGAGATTTTATTTGATTTTCTTTCTGTTGGGAGAATATTGTCTGCCATTTTTAGTAATAGGCAGTCTGTTTACATGTAGGCGTGGTCCTTAAAGTCAAATATTTTTAACCTGGGGGGCTCTCGGTGCTTGTGTGTTTGTGTGTGTGTGTTATTTTTATATATAATTCAAGGCTGCAAACATACATGTTACTCCTATTTTCCTAGCAACCACCCTATAAGGTGGGTCGGGCTGAGAGACAATGACTAGCTCAAGATGACTTTTATGCCTCAGTCAAACTCTAGATTTCTAGCCTGGTGCCTTAAGCATAACTATCCAGTCTTCATTCAAGAAATTCAGACTAGGCAATTCTTCTTCCAGCTATTTTATCTAAGAATCCTATGAAGTCAGCTACTGTGAGAGACAGTAGTTCTTTTTCCTCTCACTGAGCCTCCTGAATTCATGACGATTTGAAATAAATCTCGACACTCTGCCGCATGCCGCAACATGCCATACAATCAGCATAACTTACATAAAAAAATCAAGTAAGTACCAATTAGATGTGGACACACAGCAGTTTCATCCTCCTCCTGTGTGTCTCCCTTTGGAGGAATCAAAATGAAATGCATTTGATTTTTAAAAGGCAAAAATGTAGTTTCACAGCACAATATCACTGCAGTCTGGCAAATACAGAGACATTGTTCCTGCCTCTGCTTCCACCTTCCATACTCTCAGTCTGAATGAGACATCAAATATTTATGCTCTCTTCTGTTAGCACAAAAGTGGCCTCACTACATTTTTCCCTGGAGTAGAATTATACTGTAAAAAAGAATTGATCTGTAAATTTAGAAATTTGGAAACCATTTGTGACCTAAATCCAGCAGTAAAAAACCAGGGGTTGTAAGATGAGAAGCAAGGTAGATGCAGGGGTTTGAGCAGGGTCTCTGAAAAAAATGGTTGGAAATATAATTTGTCCAGGGAATGGGGGTGCATACCTTTTATCAGTGAATACTGGAAATATGACAGAATGTTTTAAAAAACAATTTTTTTATAAAGAGGCTTGAAAGAACCCAACAGGAATATCACAAGCCAGGAATACTATATTAATTTTTGCCATATGTACACTAGTAACTCTACAAAGTATTGTAAAATCTGAATGCCCTCAATCTTTACAGATCTTGCACAAACACACAACCTTTGTATGCATACATGCAAGTGTAGGGAGCTGATTTCAAGCTATTTTTTGCTTTGATAGTGATATACACACAGCAGACCTATGCACTCTTGATTTTGTTATTTGGAGAATAGCTGTTGATAACCTAATTTGGAAGGAAGATAACCTTCCATCTTCTTTAAATTACTGCACTTTATCCACACTTTTTAGTCACAGCGACACACCAAACAGCAGCATCTTCAAGAATCTGCCACTTTTCTTAAAATGCATGACACACAGAGAAAAGAGGCAAGTCTTGATCACAATGCAGCATTTGTTCATTCCGCCTGCCTGCAGACATCCCTGAAAATACTGTGTATTCATGGATTTGACTACCACTCAAGGGCTGGAATTTCTGAAGATGAATTGTAACTATTCTGTATGGGAGGGGAAAAACTGATCCACAATGAAACAGATCATTCATCCGTTTCCAGGGGTAGGCAATCTTGGCTCTTTTATGACTCGTGGACTTCAATTCCCAGAATTCCTGAGCCAGCCACACTGAGGGGAAAGGGAGAGGTTTCCAAGCTGAGCCATGCTGGCTCAGGAATTCTGGGAGTTGAAGTCCACGAGTTATAAAAGAGCCAAGGTTGCCTACCCCTGGTTTAGGCCAATACTGTCTCCTCTAACTGGCAGCATGTCTCTAGGATCCCAATCAGGATCCATCCTTGTCTTTAACTTAAGTTATTTAAATTGCTCCCTTCATTGAGAGAATGGCAACCTTCCCAAAGTCTCAGATTTGCTGGATCACAATTCCCATCCTCCCTGACTTCAAACCAATGGCCATACCAGCCATCAGTAAGAGAGTAGTAGTGTAACAAGTCTGGAGAGTACCAGATCGGGAAAACATGATATTTAGGACAGAATTTGTTATAGTGAGATCTCTGGCAACACATGAATTCATTAATTCTTTCATAAATTTCATTTATTATCATTAATAAATTTATATTATTGTGAGCAAACGCAACAACAATATATTTTACCGAGAATACTCCCAAGAAACTTATTTTAATTTTGGAGTGACCACTGCCATCAGTGTCCACTGGAGGGCAAATGAATAGCACATGTTCAATAACAAATAAGTCTGTTACACAAAGGAAGTATTTGTATCAGATGTCATGGCAGCATGAAAAGTCTGTGCCATAAGCTAAAGTCACACAGGTTGTCGTTCTGATGTCATCATAGCTTGTTTTAGATGCAACTAATCATTGACGTGATCTATGTTTACATGCTATTTTTATTTATTTAAATTCTAAATTTTTGAGTGGGAACTCACAAAAGGTTTAAGTTATCTGAAAGCTTCCATGCTGCATTCAAAACATTGCTGACAGGAAATAATTTAGGTTTGACACATCTGAGAGACATATGAGGAAATTCCTTCTAGACTGCTGAATGAGTTTATCCTATAGTGAGTGACAGAAGAAAAATGAATACCTTTGCAACAATAATCAAACAGAGCATAGTTCATTCTTTATAAAAGTGAAAACTCTATAAATATTCTGACGACCTTGAATCAGTTCTATTTTTTATCTTCTTTATGTTCCAAATTAGAACAAGATGGCAGGGTACTTTCTTCATAGATTTCTCCCACCTTAAGCCAAGATTCTGAAATGGAGTATGCTCTTAATACATCCAAATAAAGTAAAAAGTCTTGTAGGCAAGTAGGTATCGGCAACTGGTGGATGCGCTGGTCTGACTGCAAACAAAGTGACCGAATCTTCAGGCGGCACAGATGAGACAAGGATGGGATATGTTCTGTCACAAGAGAGAAACATGCATTTATCAGGAACAAAATAACGTGAGTGTTTCATGAATCTTCTGCTTCAGTGGTCATCGCCAAAGGCCTGCAGTGGGAGATCAATATCTTTCCTGACTCAAGAATTACACTTGGCTTCTGAGGAGTAAGTATGTCCCAGGCTATACACCAGAGAGTAATAGAGTCCAGAGCAAAATTGGATTTTATTTCATCTAATTCCAACTTAAAAATAGCAAATAACTATTATTGACAAGTTATGTAATGTAATAATTCTATTTTTCTGTCACATTAAAAATTATCACTATTACCATTTGGTAACAATTTTTGGTATTCTGGGGGACATAACCAGGGCTTTGGGGTCACTTCTGTAGTTTACAAAGAGAACAAGAAGATAAGGGGCCCCATACAAAACTTCTACAGTCTTGAACCAATGTAGTCCGTTGTGAATTGAGGGACTCTCAGTCTCAATCATTCTTTGACTTTGTCTCTCTCAGGGGTACAGACAGTCTTCTGGACTGGTATCTAGACTTCCTACTGTTTTACAATAAAATCTGTATATTTATATTTCTTCTTTGATAATAATAGGAAAAAGGGGTTTGTTAATTATTTACTGAATGGGAAATCCTTAACTTTCTCACGCCTAATCTTCAAAGAAAGCTACATTCTGGCCTAAAACAATAAGAATAAACAGTGTTTTAAAATTAAATAAAATAAGATCAAAGGACAGCCACTGACAAAGCAGAGGAGATTTAAATCAGGACCTGAAATAAGGGTAAACAGCAGGCCTAAGTGTTGAGACAGCAACTTTTCTTTTTTACTTTCCTTTTTTTCCATTCAGGCTTTCTGATTTATTCTTTCTCTATTTCATGTCTGCCTGTGTGCACATGGATGGATGGATGGATGGATGGATGGATGGAAGGAAGGAAGGAAGGAAGGAAGGAAGGAAGGAAGGAAGGAAGGAAGGAAGGAAGGAAAAGAAAAGATAGATTTAGATGTCTAAAACTTACATTTCCTATGTTTTTAAATATGAAAGAAAACAGAACTGAAATTTCAGATACCAAGCTGAAATATAAGTTGAAGGAAGCCAACTGGGAGGGGTTTGATGATCACTTCAAATACCTAAAATGATTCACATCGGAGAAGGTTATTACCATACTATTGTCCCAGAGCGCAAGATGCAATAATGGATTTAACTAAAAGGAAGATTCCTTTTAAATGTTAAGAAAATTATAAAGCTAACAACATTTTGACAACTGGGACCAATTACTGAAAGAGGTGGTAAGCTCTGGTTCACTGGATATGTTCAAGTAGGAGCTGGATAGATATAAAATATGAATGCTTTAATCTAGATTCCTGCACTGACCAAAGGACTGGATGGCCCCAAAAACTTCTTCCAATTTTATCATGGGGATGGAAAAATATTTGTGCTGAAAGAAGTTATGGAAAATATTTACACTGGTTGGAAGGAAAAGAAAAAAAAGAAAGGAAAGGAAAAGCGTGCTTTGGCTAACATCCTCAAATAAACAGGCTCATGTTGAAGAACAAATTATTTCCAATAACATTTTGGTTACAATGCAAACAATAAGGAAGGCAGAAATCTTTATGGACTGATCAAAAATATTTTGGCCTTCAAACAAGTATATTTGTTAAGACTTTTTTTCTGTTTATACAGAAACTGTAAGAATGCTGATTGGGAAGCTACTTTGCAGAGCTGGAAGTTACAGTTCTAAATACACAACTTTACACATAGTCCTTGGCTTATTACCAAATTGAGTCCAGAATTTAAAATATAAGTCATTGCAATCCCAAAGTGAAATGCCCACATGATCACTTACTCAACAACTACAATCCTGACTCTCCCTGTCGTGGTGATTAAGTGATCATGTGGGTCATTAATCACAGCAAAAGAGTTACCTGATTTTGCAGGTAAAGGGGGGGAGGGGACAGGCAGTTCCCCTCTGTGAGCAGAAGGAAACTGTAGCACCGGGCTAGAGAACTTCATCCTGAAATCGGAAAAGGATTTTGGCATGAAGTGTTTCAAATATGATGCATTTGGAGCCAGCCTCAGAAATGAGGGAATCCTTTCACTTCTGGAAGTTGGCTGCAAATGCCTCATGCTTTAAATGCCCTTTGCAACATCCTGCTTGGATTTTGAGAAGAACGATTTCACTCAGCCTCCTTGCAGAAACTCTCCAGCATGCAGCATATTTGGAATGGATCTTTTTCACTCAGCCCCCAGGAAGCAGAGGGCGTCTTCTAGGCAGGAGACCATGGCTGGCGACCTTTCCTCTTCAAGATTTAACGTACTGGAATCCCAGTTAGTGGGAAAAACAAAACTGAAGCAGAAGAATAGATGCCTCACATAATGTTCATTCAGGAAAAAAAAATGATTTAAAAACCTTCTGAAAAACCAGTGATGGAGTACCCACAACTTCTGAAGGCAAGCTGTTCAGATTAATTGTTCTAACTGTCAGGAAATGGTGGCAGTAGGAACAACCATACTGTTATCCCAAAGTTGGAGTTGAGGGCTGGGATAAAATTCCTAGCTTCTGGTTTTGATATGCATAGTTTACCATCAGCTGGTAAACTATGTGTATATACAGGTATATACAAAAACATATTTTGTAATTGTGTCTCTATCTCTGTGTGTATATATATACATGTGTACACATACACATACACATACATACACACAGTACATGCACACTTTCAGAGGAAAAAGGAAATCTCCAGGATTGGTTGTAGCTGGAGTTCACTTTACTGAAAACACAGGGAAGAACACACTGCACAGGAGTTTTGAATGATGATCATGCATATATATGGCACATATTTTTCCTTTGGGAGATCATCTTAAAAACAAGTTCCATATGGGTACATGCAGTAGGTGATATTGGTGGCAGTTAACTGAGACCAATTTCAGAACATTACCCATGAAAGAGACATAAATTGATCAAGATCATATATTTGGTTTCTTTTACTGAGATTCCTGTGCATTGTATCTGAAGGCCATATGCTCTAAAATGGTGCTCGGGGGGATTATTACTTTTTAGCTCCAGAGTTAACTGGCTGGGAATGGTTAATTGTGAGTTTTCACTTTGCAAATTAGTAAATTATTAGGGGTATTTAGAATAAGGAATGTGATAATAAAAGTGAGCAGAAAAAGTAAGAAAGGTAGAAAATAAGGGTGATGGTTTGACAAAAGATATGGCAAAAGATTTAATCCCACTGGGTTAAATACGGGAGAAATTCAGTGTGGATCTGAAAAAATAAAAATAAATGTGATAGCAATACTCAAGTGCAGGCGTGCCTATTTATTGCGAAGATTTTGCTAGTTTATGGGTTCACATATGCGCAAATATTTGTTCCCATTGATCTACTCTTTTATAAAGGCTTACCTTTGGATCCCTTAGAACATAATTTAATAAGCATTCTGCAGGATCAAACCATAAGCCTGTCTAGTTCAGCATCTTATTTCCCACAGGGGCTAACTAGAGGACTCTAAGAAGTGCATAAGTAAAATATCCTGGGTCACTTTTATCATTCTACAATAATATTCAGAAGTATATTTGGACATGGAAAATTTTCATTTCATGTAGCTAACAACCATTTATAAACAATTAACGTCTTGTGGCAAGATGGGCAGCATAATATTTAATAATAATAACTATTACTGCTCTCTAAATCTGTATTAGTTAGAGGCAATGATATTTTGCAACAGCAAACACAGATTAATTCTATTTTGCACAGAATCTACCAATCAACACAAGCTTTTTCTGGCTCATTGCTTTCTAGATATACTAAAATAACTATTGCCAAGAATTCCCCAGGCAATATTTAGATGACAATAGGTAAAGGACACTGGGTTATCAGATATATCAAGCCAGTTCCTGTTCTACACTACAGCAGTATATTTTAGGTTTTCAAGGCATTGGGTATCTGTGGCCCCCAGAAACCTTCAAAAGTTATTAACAAATCCCAGTGTTTAATGTGACAGAAAGGCAATTAATAAATGAAGGACTAGAGACTAATATTATATTTAATTCTAATAGCATAATATATATTTATCATACTTTTATTTAATTCTTGAAGTCAATGTATTTTGGAATGCAACCATGTAAATGTTCACTGAGAAACTGGTGCATCCTAATATTTAAAAAGAAAATATTAGAAGTCAATTCAGACCATACTAACAACCATGCATTTGAATTTTTTAAAGAGATTTTTAAGCAGAAAAAATAAAAAAAAAAAGATCTAGTTGGCAAGCTGATAGAGACCATAAAGTGAGATTAATTAAGGCACCATTCAGGCAGACCTCTCTCCATGAGTTTGCCGGATTTGAACACAAAAGAAAAGAGACATTTTCTGATCAGAGGCTTTCCTAACCTTTCCATTATTAAAAGATGGTATTTCGGTCTCCAGGGTATCTAGTTAGCAACTGATGATTGCAGACTATATCTGCACTCTTCCCCCCACCTGGTAGGCAGTCTGCAGCTTCACTGTTGCCTGCAATAATTGGATGACCTTTATTTCCAGAGCAGGATTAAGCAGAGCCGCAGGATCATTTATTAAAAACACAACAGCACACTGATTTCAGAAGTCTAATTTGAAAGAAAAAAAAAAGCCAAGTTGTAAGATGCCTCTACTTCAACACTAGCTTTCACTGTTTAGGAAATCTTCTAGCCCCTCAGCATATGCCCCAGAATAATATAGATATTCCCAAGGCCTACTTAAAACTAGAAAATCTAGGATCTGAATCTAGATCCTTCAATGTTCAAAACATTTGCTTTATTAATAATAAATTGATGTTCATGGCACATTAAGCTGACCCTGAGATACTATGTATACATCTGCTTTCTCTTTTGTATATCTTTTTAACACACAAAAGCATCAAGGTGCTCCTATGATGCCTCACTGTGACAAGGGGTGTGTTTGTGGGAGAAACATGCAAATAATGCTAAGACTAAAACTCAAGAGTACCTATTCCCAGCAGTGTCACTCAAAGCCTGAAGGTCACCCCAGTTGCTCAGCTAAAGCAAGCCGACACCTACATTAGGCAGCAGCAATATTGGAAAACTGTGGAGGAGGAGGATCATTTAAGTACTATAACAAGGCGTCATTTTATGCCATGCTAAGAAAAGCAATGATAAACCACTTCTATATGCTATCAACAAAACCACAAAGGCAGACAATATAAAGTTATTGACAATATTTAATATCAGATGGTGGGGCCCCTTAGGTCAGATTGCAGTCAATATACTACTGAGGGAGAACTAAGGATTTTTCAGAATGTTAATAGTGTTTATGAAGTGGCTACATTAAAGCTTTTGGAATGTCTAGTTGCTGGTGCTGTCATGAAGGGGGAAAATGCAAAGCTTCATAAACAGAATTACAATGCAAGAAGCACAAATGTTTCTAGGCCTCAGAAACAGAATGATAGAAACTGAAAAAAGAGAAGTCAGTCTTGCCAAGAAAGACAAGATCTCGGGAAGAAGAATGTCAAACTACTCTTAAGAAGGATTGTTACAACCATATCTCTCAATATTGAAGATGGAAGCATATGCAGAAAAAGCCAATAAAGTAAATTATTTCAGGATAAATGAGAAAGTAAAAAACTATTGAAAAGAAGTCATAATGTACTTTATTGATTGACATCTATTACATCAAGCTATAGAATAAAAATGGAAAACTTACAACTACTCAAAATCTTCATACAAAATCTAAATGAAACAAAGCCATAGTCCATGGCAAAGCAGTCTCCAGGTCAGGAAATAATTAAGTTATATACTCTTTCCTTATTTATTCAGGTATATGCTTAATATTTGTTGAAAGAGCCTGGATTATAAGAACATGAGCGTGATTTTGAAATTGGAGGAAGAAATCTCAGTAGCCTATACTATGCTGATGATACTACTCTAATAAATACAAAGGATCTGAAATGAAATGAAATTTTAAAAATTATGGGGCACTGAAAAAAAGGGACTTTAAATTTAAAAAAGACCAAACTAATACAATAAGCACAGCAACCAACCTTAAAATTGACAGCAAAGACATTATGGAGGCAAATAGTCTCTGTTTTATAGAGCTGATTATCAATAGTTAAGGAACAGCAATAAGAAATACACCATAGAGTAGCACTTGGTGAATAGCAATAAAGGAAGGCTTGAAAAAGATTTTAAGAGGTCATGACAAAGACCAAAATTGTACAGGCAATAGTTTTTCCTGTGACCCTCTCTGGATGTAAAAGTTGGACTTCAAAGAAGCAGAACAAAGAGTATTGACAGTTTTGAATGTTTGTGTTGGAAAAGACTCCTGAGAATGTCATGGATAGTTAGGATAACAAATAGATCACAGAACAAATCAATCCGGATTTTTCACTTGGATCACAAAATTATCAGGTTCAAATTATCCTATTTTGAACATACTATGCAATGATTAATACTTTATTTGTATTATGCTCTCTGAGCATGTATATCAAGGCTACAATCCCTTGCATTATTGACCAACAAACTATCTGTTATTGAGACACTAATAAACAGACCATACAAAAAAAGCTGACTCATTCTTTGCTTACCAAAGTGACTACAGGGTATCCACATGGAAGTGGCCTTGCGGCTGGAAAGAATCTGCTCTACATTCCAGTGAAGCCTCTTCCAATTAGTAAACTCCAGAAGAAAGTTCAGAGCATCACTGCTTACAGAGAAAATCCTAGAAGTGAACAAAAATAAATTACTATAAGAGCCAGTATATCATACTGAATGGTGTCAACTTCTGGTAAAAGGCTTCAAGAGTTCAAATTCCTAATAAGCCATGAAATCAACTGAGAGATTGAGGTCAATTATTGTCTTTCAGATAAACATATAATATTTAAAGTTTACAAAAGAAATATAAAGCTGAATAGTAGTAATTTTTAGAGGATACTAAGTGATGTACTCCTAAAATGCACTTTATTTAATTGGGAAATATGCTATATCAAATATATCTTAATAGAATTCATATGAGCCAGTACTAGTACTCTGATCAGTAGAATAAAATTAATCTAATGCTGTTCTCCTATAATCCAAATATCTCGGTAACAAGATCTTCACTATAGAATGCTTACATTCTGGTTATTAATACATAACAAACACACATACACACTCCACTTACAGATGTAGTAAATTATTCAAAAATCATACTGCCAACTGGAAATCCTAGCTTTGTTCAACTACTGTAATCAATCAGTTTCATTCTCTCACATATGCAGTGAAGAGTATCCACAAAGAATCAAAGCAGTTAAGAGAATCATACCCAGGCTGTGTTTCTTGTGACCTTTGATGATATTTGGCTTCAGAACACAAGGCTCTTTTTATTAGTTTAAAATGGCTGTAAATCTAATATATTCTGCAACAAGATGACATCTGCCCTTTGAAAGCAAAGAGAAGATATTTGGTCCTTTCTACGTGGGAAGGAGTGTGCATATGTTTCATTTTTTTGTATTTGTTCAAAGCTTTAGAAAAGCAGCATAACACAATTTTCCCTGTCACTTGAAAAAATCAGATCACCTGCTTTCACTGAGGAATCAACCCAGTTTGAAATTCACAAAGAACACAGAACTGTGAAGGACCAGCACAATGGTCTTTCCGTGAACATTTTCCACTGATAATTCACCTCCAACCTCATTGTCTTCCAATAATATACTTTTGTTCCAAACTTCCTCCTATTCTAAGATCTCGGCTATAGATGTAATATTAGGGAGTTGAGGAGCAAGATCATAGGCTTCTTCCCTAAAGCCCCTGACAACTTTTCACTACTCCCATTAGAACATTTAATCATGATGCAGCTTAACATAATAATCATGGCTAAATGCTAACTCGAGTTTGTTGTTCATGAGGCCTAAAGTCAGAAATAATTTTCCTTAATGTCATAATTATCATTAAAATTCAACAAATGCTATTTGCCCTAACTCACATATTTTCTCTGTAGTACAAATTCTCTTTTTTCAGCTGTAGTGTTGTGTTACATCAGCACTCATATTAATGCAAAAGGTGATTATCAGAGCTTGACACTGAAAGCTGAAACTGGTTCACAGAATTAACTTCTCTATCAACCTGTGCATATAATAATCTTGCTGCGTTACCATATATAAAATCAATCTTCTGTAAGTCATCTCTAATTGATAATCCAAGTCCATATAAAAAAAATTCTGATTTCATTTCAATATTAATCTTTAAAATTCTTTGCATCATCTTATGCACTTAATAATCTTTATGCATATAATAGCCTCACTGTAGTTATCATATACAAAAACAATCTTCTATGAGTGTTTTCTAACTAGACGTCCAAAAGTCCCAATAAAAAATTCTGATTTAATCTGAATATTATTAAAATTCATTGTATCATCATTTATATTTGTATCCATATATTTTTTTGCAAATTCACCCTGTATGAAAAAATGTCCCTTTGTGCTTTTTACATTTCCAACATTGATTAGAAATGCCTTTATATATCTTAGATAATTTCTCTGGTGACACATACCAGTAGTACATCATTTTATAGAATTTTTCTCTTAAATTATAACACAATGTGAATTTCAGTCCTTTTAATCACATTCTCTTCCTTTGGTCCATTTGTATATTAGAACCCAAAATCTTAATCCATTTTATTATGCACCTGTTAACAAGTTCTTTCAATTTCAAATTTCAACAAAAGTTTGTACATTTAAACAATCACATGTACATAATTCAATTTTCAACTTCTTTTATATTGTTCCATTCCAGTTAGCTTTTTAGCTACATTAAATTTCTCTTAATTGTGCATAGAAATACCAAACTAAAACCCTCTGAAGTTAATTATTCTGTTGATTTCATCTTGAGCTGTACATCTTCCTGCATTAATGTCTTGATATGATAACCAACTGTCCAATTATTTTCCAAGCCCAATTCAAGACACTCACAATGGCATATAAAGCAATATTGGATACCATAATCATATATTAAATTCAGTTATAGAGTTTGCTTCAGACAAACATATAAAAACATTTCATGCTTAAGTAGCTCAATCCTACTCTCCAAGGATTGAGCTACTTGAACAAGGCTCTGAATAATGTATTCAGAATATCACATAATAATAGATATCCACCTGAAGTGACTCCTAGACACATACACTTGTAAAACATCCTTCATGGACAAACTCAAGCTGATGAGATCTGTTGCAGAAACTTCATGCATGTATGTCCAAACATATGCAATATCCCATACATAGCAAGACTGAGGATACTATGGTACATGAGACAGAAGTGGGCAAAAGCTACTATTAGAACTTACTGATCTGCAAGAGATTATGGATTTCTGACAAACAACTTTTAATCACAGTAATAACAAAATTATACATCTCTTATTTTTTGTTATATGAATGGATAAAAGAAGTCTGGCAGTTGTCAGGAATGGATTCTAACTTTAGGAAGGACTTAGCAGTCAGCACAGTTCTGGTATCAACTCCAAATTAAGGCCTTCATAATCCTAAATAAATTTGTTTCTGTAATTTGTTTGATTGGTGAATTCCTATGGGGAGGGGTAGAAATGTCATAAATGTGAAATCCTACCTGGACTACCCACTTATACAAGCTAGCATTTCCATGCAATCATACTGAGCAACAAAAGCAATTCCTATGATATAAAAGGTATGGATGCATGCATGAACAGATTTTTGTATTTCTGCCTACAAAGAGATGTATGTAAATATATTTACATAGTGATGAACTGGACCCAGCTTGCTGAGCCAATTGATACGTTTTCTTAATTTTGTGATCTGGTTCACAGCAGAGTGTGCCTCAACACCTAGAACATTAATCAGCTGTTCTACAACTAATATCAGTAGCAATGGAGCCAGCAAATCTGTTTCTTAAAACATTTAGCAACACACCAGTATGCATATACAATCATACAGTATACTTATACGTCTATATTACCTTGCTTACCAATCATGTGAGAGAAGATTCACAGGATTAAACCCAGCTAGCAAGAGTGATGGCAGCCATTCTTTGTACTCATGTCCTGCAGTGACTGCATATTTTAAAAATTCTGCCAGGTGCTGTTGACATGGGAGCTTGCAATCCTTCCTCAAGAAATGCCGAAATAGACTGTATCTTCTATGTAGCAGACAGAGGCCTAAATCTATTTCAAGAATTTTGATTCCATATTTCAGAAGGATGAGGATTATTTCACTTCTGCAAGAAATATACAAGACATATACATGTTACACCTTGCAAGCAGCCCCATGTTGCCTTGTGGACAGATGGGCAGCAAATAAATTTAATAATAACCCCAGTGAGACACTACCTTGACATGGTTATGGGGCTTGTGTGTACTCTGAGAAAGATGAGAACTATGCCAGAGGTTCAACCATACTCAACAGAAGAATCAGACAAACAGTGTTTCCCCCTTTAAAAATATGGTGAAACGTAAATTACAGAAACCCATATTGGCTCAGTCGTAACCCGGGTTAACAAGGACCACACTAGATGTTGGGAGTCCTGAACATCTAGTGAAAAATGGGCTACAGGACTCAGAACTGTTGGCTGAACAACTGGGGCCAACAGCTTCAGAACTACTTGAAGAAAAGGTGTTTAGCCGTCACAAATATATAATGATTGAAAATAAAGAAGGCAGATATTCTTACAAATTATTACAGATGAAGTCCAACAAGAAGAGGATATTTGAAACAAATGGACCAGTTCTGGAAAGAACAACATCCAGATAAGAAACAATAGAACAGAGGCTAGCGTGGTAAAACAAGCAAAGGTAGTACCAATATTAATAGGTGCCTTAGATGCAATCCTATTACAACTGCAACACCACTTGAACACCATCAACATTGACAAATTCACCATCAAGCCAATTGCAAAAGGCTTTACTCAGAACACCTTTCATCCTGTGACAATATGTGTAACACCATAAACATCCACATCTGCCTATCCCTTGGACTCAACAGGTAAATAAAAATGCCAAATCCAGTCTGAACATCTGGATGACTGTGCAACAAATCTTCATAATAAAAAATGTTAACACAGTATTTATTCAAACAAATTTTCCAGAAATTAACCTGCAACCTACCAGTTAGTTAATTTGCTAGATAGCTGATTAATTCCTACTTTTTAAATAGCACTAGGCCAAGGGTGCTCTACACCAGTGGTTCTTAACCTGGGCGATATTGCCCCCCAGGGGGCGATTTCATTTTTCAGGGGGGTGATGGAATGAAAAGGGGCGATATGAGGGCGAAGGAACAAAAAGGGGGCAATATGGGGGCGATGGAACAAGAAGTTTTGGGGACACTTTTGAGACATTTTCGTACAGTGAATGGCTGTATATCTGTCGTACAAAAACATCAGATTGCTCGCTATTAGTGGATTGAATTGTGTTTTCAAATGTTTCTCCAGCAAGCTTCAGTACAGAACGCTGTACATATGTAAATACGCATTGCTTATCTTCATGCATGTTGTGCAGCAGCCTCTACCCATATAGTGGCGCGCCATTAGCCAGAATATGGGAGATATGGGGAAAAAACTGGAAATAAATTATTTGCATCGATATGTCCTAATGAACAATTTTAAAGAAAACAAAAAAAGTGTTTGCATAAATTGAAGAATTATTTCCCATGTTGTGATTGAGAGGTTTTGTTGGGGGAGGGGGGTGATGACAACTTCCTCATTGGCTCAAGGGGGCGATTCGTTCAAAAAGGTTAAGAACCACTGCTCTACACCATCCATGAAATTAGTTGATCTCTTTGAATACAAATGCCAATCCAGCAAAATATTTCAATGAACGATCCATAGAGGTCACCAAACATGCTCTGAGGGCTGAAGATAGTACATAGCCAGAAAATATTGGATTAGCAATATCTATTTGAACATATTCCAAAATGGCTCTCTTATTTCAAAGTAGAATATGGGCAAATTAATGTTCAATAAATGTTCCAACTAACCCTCTGTAAATTAAATGCAAAAGACATCCCTGAAGAATGCATACTAGCATCTTAATAAAGTGCATTTTAAAAATGTAAAAAAGACAAGATTAAGAATAAGAGATCACAAGAACAGCCATTTTGAGCAAAAAATGAAAAAAGAACCATTTCATTCAAGTTCATAAATTATATCAAGTGCTCATGAGACACAGCTTTCAAAAAAATTATAATAGAAAAAAATTCTTCTCAAAGGGAAAATATCCTTTAAACACTTTTTACAAGGATGTTCTGTGCCTAGAGATGACCTAGTACTGGGATTTCTGGATGCTTAGAAATAAGTCCAACTAAGTCTAGCTAGGCTTATTCCTAGATAACTCTGCAAGTGTGATTTAGTGGTTTAGAGCAAATACTCTGCTAAAAGAAAAGAAAATAGAATTGAAAATAAAGTTAATTTTACATAATCTTTGCTTTATGTTAAGAGGTTGAAGGGTCAATAATGAGTAGTAGAGAGTAAAGCAGTGATATTAAGTTTCCAAAGAGATGAACTCAATTTATTTTTCTGGATTTTTATCACTATTCTAAATCCACTTAACATTTAATGAACAAAATATGCCTAACATATAACTAACTTTTAAAATCTTTCCAAAGAGTAATTGAACAGAAATATTTAATTTAGATTATCAAATATAAGGTGTGTTATAGGTGTGTTAATAAAATAAATTCAAGATGTGGCTTTGAAATTTATCTTTACTGAAGTATTTCATAAACATGTAAATATTTTAAAACACAAGTCAATAATATACTGTTTATTTGTTTGTTTTTATTTCTTTATCCCAATATATATATGATAAGAAATAAAATGAGCACCAGGGTAATATTAAAAACTATAAAAGATTTAATTAAAAAAGCGCCAAGCTTTCGCCGTCACCTGCCGGCATCCTCAGGGCTGGTGCGCCAGGAAGTGAGAGTCTCTTTATAGGTATGTCATTGCCTGCGCGCGGCTCCTCGACCTCGTCATCGGGGCTAGTTGGTCCAATTGCCTAGGGCTGATTTGTTTTTTTCTGTTCCTTTCAATTACGTGTTTCTCCTCATCCATTTTTTTGCCTTCTTTCAACTCCGGGGTAGTTAGGTGAGGGTCTCTATTACTTCGATGCTTCCTATATTGTGGCTCTTCCTTGGGGTTGGATGGTAATGTGTGTTTCATGCTCTTTTCACAATTATCCCTTATCCAATTGTCCTTTTGGTGATTTTCCCGTTTGATTTTATTGTTTTTACTTTTTACATTGCTCTCATCTGGGTGGACCTGTGAGTTGTTCCGAGTTAAATATGATCTGGTAACAGTCCGGGGTCGGGTAATAGGTTGTTTTGTTGTAGGGGGGGGGCAGTTTCTTGGTTGTCATTATATCCAGCTGTTTTGCGCGCGTCCTACTGCGGGTAATTGGTCCGGGGGGGTCGTTGGTGAGATCGCGTTCATCCTGGTGACCGCAATGCTTCTTCTCCGCTTCCCTTTTCTTCTTTACGCTGTTAATGTCTATATGTACGTCAGGGAGGGCTTCGGGATTCACGGCTGTGGGGCACGATGGTCCGTTCGTTTGCTCCTCGTCAGTCTCGCCAATCCCGTTCTTCCCGCTGATCTCCTCCCCCTGCCTCTCCCTTCGTTTCAATTTGCTCTTTTCCCTTTCCTTTTCCCCACTGACGTTCCTTTTCCCCACTGACCGAAGCATTGCGGTCACCAGGATGAACGCGATCTCACCAACGACCCCCCCGGACCAATTATCCGCAGTAGGACGCGCGCAAAACAGCTGGATATAATGACAACCAAGAAACTGCCCCCCCCTACAACAAAACAACCTATTACCCGACCCCGGACTGTTACCAGATCATATTTAACTTGGAACAACTCACAGGTCCACCCAGATGAGAGCAATGTAAAAAGTAAAAACAATAAAATCAAACGGGAAAATCACCAAAAGGACAATTGGATAAGGGATAATTGTGAAAAGAGCATGAAACACACATTACCATCCAACCCCAAGGAAGAGCCACAATATAGGAAGCATCGAAGTAATAGAGACCCTCACCTAACTACCCCGGAGTTGAAAGAAGGCAAAAAAATGGATGAGGAGAAACACGTAATTGAAAGGAACAGAAAAAAACAAATCAGCCCTAGGCAATTGGACCAACTAGCCCCGATGACGAGGTCGAGGAGCCGCGCGCAGGCAATGACATACCTATAAAGAGACTCTCACTTCCTGGCGCACCAGCCCTGAGGATGCCGGCAGGTGACGGCGAAAGCTTGGCGCTTTTTTAATTAAATCTTTTATAGTTTTTAATATTACCCTGGTGCTCAATTTATTTCTTATCATGAATACTCCCAGGGTTCATGTTTTTAAACTTCTCAAGCATATATATATATATATATATATATATATATATATATATATATATATATATATATATATATATATATATATATATGCTTAAGGAAGTGAACATACCTAATATTCCTTCTTCCTCCTATTTTCCCCACAACAGCAACCTAGTGAGGGAGTTGGGCTAAGAGAGAGTGACTACCCCAAGGTCACCCAGCTGGTTTTCATGGTTAAGGCGGTACTAGAACTCATGGTCTCCCAGTTTCTAGCCTGATGCCTTAACCACTAAACCATAACAGCTCTCTTGTGTATGAATTCATCTAACTGGCAGTTGATGCCAGAGTTTTTTACTCTGATTCTCCTCAATAGCTTGTGGAAGTATAATAAGCAATGCATTGTTTTTTATAAAATAACAAATCTCTCAACTCTGTGGCCCTAATTCACTACCTTTTCATTTAGATAAAAAGCAGTTCAGAATTTGTCAACAAGTTTTCCATATTATGTGAGTCTTCCACAAGGTTACAATAATATTGTAATCTGATATGGAGAATAAGATTCCTTAGCTTAATACCAGTTCCATAAAAAGAATCAATTAACAGCAGAGAATGTTCCCCAAAACTATTTCCTGTATTGACTGATTTATCCTGAAATGTGAAGCTGCATGTTCTAAGGCAGAGATTCTTAAAGTGAGGTCTGGGAACCTCCAGGGGTCCCTGAGACCTTTACGGATGTCACAATGTCAAATAAATATTTTAACATTTCTCAGTTTTGATTTCTAATACAATAAATATTGCAAGATATAACCCACATAAAAAAGCTCTTTGGAATCCTCACTCATTTTTAAGAATATAAAGAGGTCCTGAGGCCAATATGTTTGTGTAGAACTGTTCTAAGCCCTTTCCAAGCAACTAGTTTAACAAGCATACTAAAGTTGAAATATTATCTGAAAGTAGAAAATTTTAAAAACCTTTAATACAAACCAGTTACTGCTCCCATAATATTTTCACCTTATTTGCTAGGTTGTTTATTTTTAAAATTTCTTGGCCACCATCTTACTGCAAGTTTATAGTTCCCATAACATCCTTGTCCCTTAATAACTGCAAACAACATACATACCCTTTTTGAAAGGCAAGAGACATTGGTGATCTGCAGCCAAAAATGGGACAAGACTGAGCATCTGGACTGTAACCTTCCTTAAGCAAGAGTTCCAAGCAATTCTCCTGACCACTGTAGATTGCAGAGTAGACAGGACTCACTTTGCCTTCAGCACTACCACAAACCTGGTCAGTAACCGGTATCAGCATGCGCAATATACTGCAAAAATGTAAAATGGATGTTACTGTGCAAGCACAAAAATCTTTATTATGTATCTTACAGATGAAAACATCTTAAAACAAAACCATTATTTGCTGCCTTTTAATGTGTTCTGTATCTAATTGAAATCTCAGCAAATGGTAAGAGAACCAGCTGATCTCATCTGGATTCTAAAACTAAGTTGGGTTCAGCCTAATGGAGGAAGACCTTTAAAAAAGTACCAGGGCTGCAGACAAGATAGATATATTGGTTTTAAAAAATCCTAGAAAAGTCAGTGGCAAATAATCTCAGTTTTGCTGCCAAAAAAATGCATAATTTCATTCATGCTGTTATTAGCTGTTGGGCTTGATTCAAGGGCTTCCATAGTGGATAACAGAGCCCATGTGGTAAAAAGTTGAAGGTCCTAAAACCTTCTCTTTCAGAAATCCTCTGGGTCCTTGTATAATTCTAATATGTGAGGGAAATAGGACTCTCAAACCAGTGTTACCTTTTTAGCAATTAACAGATTAAAAAAACCAAAATAACTGCAGTAACGCAACCTCATGGCCATTTAACGTGTAGTCATGTAGCTGGATTATCCACCCTTCCTCTCCTCCTTGGATGATAGACCAATCTCCCCAGAAAAAAACTTAACCAAATTTTATTTTTAAAAAAGAAAAGATAAAATGTATTCCTATTTAATTTTTTAAAACTCCAAATGGTTAATATAAAAGATAAACGACAGATTGCAATAAAATAGCTGACTAAAAGGAAAAATAATGCAATAATGCAATATTCTAGATAGGCAAGCTGCTATTTCTCATTCTGAGTGAAAAAAAGAAAACTGGTTAGGTATTTCAAATTAATATTAAAGATCACATAAACACTTCAAAGAAGATTTGGAACCTCCATATGCAACCTGATAGATTGAAGACTGAGGTTACATGCTCAATTCGTCAGAGAAATAACATTAGACTTTAGCACCATGAAGGAATATAAATCAAAAGCCATTAAAATGTTAAACAAATCACCTGTTTAAACAGATGTTTCCAGTTCTTCAGCTACCTAGATTGAAATATTAATTCCTGGTTTTCCCAGTCTCAGTTCAAATTTTGGAATTTTGCACCTAGATTCAAAAAGGCGCAAAACTTTTCTTTTTCCAGCAGAGGGAGAAGCTGAGATAGTCATACTCTATAAATGATGCCTCTTTACCTTTTTAAAATTTAAACAGCACTTAGGTTTTTGGAACAAGCTTTTATAGTAAAGAAATCTGATTTTTTTAAAGCTACAGAATGTATTAAATCTAACATTTAATACATTCTGACAGAGATTTATTTTATTTGTAAATCTATTTTCTCTTTCTTGATAGCCCTCTTTTAATCTACCCAATTTCTGTAGCTTGGTGTGTTCATTCAAACAGCATTCCAGACACATGCAGTCAAAAGTCTGATATGAAGCCAGAACTATTTACAGAAAGCTGTAAGTAGAAGAATTTAAATTCCCTTCATCCCCAAAACACATTTCCTTCACTACCCTGGGATATAGAGGTAATCCATACCTAGCCTGGAAAAAAGAAAATCTTCTTTTGGAGACTGCCTATTATGCATTAAATAAATAGTCTGCTAGGAGGAACCCAATAAAATTACCTCATAGGTTACAATGAAGCTGGGATAGATATTTTAAATTATAAGGAAAGGGAGGCTGTCCTATTAAGAAATTGCTTATAGTGCCCCATTTTCAGGAGATGGAGGAAGCTGAGGCTAGAAAGCATTGCTTTCCAACTATTATTCTTTGGAACAGATTCACTCTAGATCTGTTTATCACATTTGACAATTTTAAGATGTGTGGACTTCAACTCCCAGAAATCCCCATGGGTGGCCAGGGAATTCTGGGAGTTGAAATCCACACATCTCAAAAGTTGCCAAGTTTGAGAAACATTGCTCCAGATGTTAGACTGGCCCCTTCAGTAATAGTTTTCCAAAAGGCTGGATGCGAGAGAGAGTATGAGATGTGATCCTTAGTCATAACTGTTTTTATTATGTTTTTCCTTTTTTATTCTTACTGTTAGCTTTGGGTTTTTTAGTTGTTTTAGAATTACGAAACAATGATTTTAAGCTGCTTATTTTTTTTATTTTTATACAAATACATTTGTATATTTTTCCTTACTGGGGTTGCTTTTATTCTACTGTACTTTTTTATTCTAAACCATGGTAGTCTGAATGTTTTTCCAAAATAGAAATTTAACACCAAATTCAACTGGTTATCCTCAACTTACAACCAGTTGCTTAGCAACCATTCAAAGTTATGGCAGACACCCCCCTCTAAAAGCTAACATGATCCCAAAGTGATGGCTGCTGCAGCACCCCCACAGTCATTTGCCACTAGGACCAGCCACAGGGATACTGCAGCACCCCCCACCTATCTCCCCCTATCCCATCCACCAGACTCCATATCTTCCACATGACTCTTGTGGTCTTTTGAAGGTCTCCAGAACTCCAGAGCTCAGGTTAGGGAAGCAAAGCAAGCTGCTTTGTTGCTGGGCTACACAGCGCGATCCCAGAAGCAGCCACTAACTTCTGAGGTGCCATAATCTACAGCAGCTTGGACAATGGCAGCTGTTCCTGGGATTGTGCTGGGCAGCCCAGCAACAAAGCAGCTTGCTTTGCTTCCCTGAGTTCCAGAGATATTTGCTACGCAAGTGTGCAATGGGTAACATGGGGTGAAGAGGAGAAGGGTTTGGGCCCAGTGGGGCAGCACTGTGAGGGCCGGAAAGCAGAGCACCAGCTGTCTTATAGGGTGGGGGAGACCTTGAGAGGCACAGGACAAGGCCTGCGTTGGGAGGCACAGGAATGCCTGAGGCACACCATGTTCTGTTTAACATCCCACACATTTGTTTAACAACCACATCAAGAAGAGCAGGGATGGATAGTCCAAAGTGAAGAAATCATATGGATGCATCACTTAATGACTGTCACAAACTCTGACTGTAATTGATAGTCTCCATTACTACCATGATTATTTAGACAGACAGACAGATTTAAAAGCTGCCCAAGTCCGGGTTACTTAGGGCATCTTACTACCAAAAAATAAGGAAAATACAAAAATTGAACTAAGAATAGCCTAAACAAATAAATGAAAAATCCATCTAACAGGGGCTTGAATCTCAATCTGTCCCAAAGTCTGAGAAAAAGCCAGGTCAATAATAACAATAATAATAATAACCTGTTATTTCTTCCCAAGGTTTTGTATAAATGATGCATTAATATTTTGAACTATTAGACTACCTCTGTGATTCCTGTAACCACATTTGAGAAACACAGAACCAGCCCTGCGTGCAGATGGTCAAAATTCTGGCAGCTCTGATTTAAAAAATGAAATGTCAGGAAATGGGAAAGAAAGTGTTTTGGTAGAAAGCTTCTGCTTCTCAGGGTTAGAAATGGACAAATAACCTAATCTGATGAAAAGCTGCTTTCTATATTCTTAAAGGCTTATACTTTTCTCTATTGCTAGATGATTATTTACAGATTTTTTCATAATTTACCGTATGTAGCTTTTCCACTTGGTTCACAAATCACAAATCCAACCCGCAGCCCATGTGCTGCATGAGACTCTAGACAGCTAGTAAAGCGGTCCCACAAGAAAATAAAAAAAGAAGTTTGTTATTTGTACAAAGGTAAACATGAAGGTTTCCCCATCCAGTTGTGTCCGACTCTATGGGGCAGTGCTTATCTCTGTTTCTTAGCCGAGGGAGTAAGCACTGTCCGAAAACATTTCTGGTCATGTGGCCAGCATGACTATAAGTTGAACTGCATGTAAAGCTGTTACTTTCCCACCAAAGTGGTACCTATTTATCTACTAGTACTTGTATGCTAGGTGGGCAGGAGCAGGGGCAAGCAATGGGAGCTCACCCTGTCATGCAGCACTCAGGTCTCAAATCCTGACTATCAGCTTTCCAGCTGACAAGTCAACTACTGAGCTATCGCACCCCCGTTATTTGTATACATTAACTATATTATATATTTTATATGTGTCCCAGGACAATGTGGCCCAGGCAAGCTAAAAGGTTGGACATCCATGCCCTAAAGCAGGGTTCTCCAATCTTTTTGGGCTGATGGCCCAGAGGAAGAAAGAGGGCAGGCACCTTACGCGCTCATGCGCAAACATGAATGTGGCTATATGTGAGCGTGCATGTACAAACAGGCTGCGAGCATGCACACCAAGCAAACGGGGCTGTGAGCATGCGCACAAGGCTCTCAGTGACGGCGGTGCCTGTGTGAGGGTTGTGGCACCACTGCCGTCAGGTTCGCAGCAATGCTGTCACCGGCACAAGGATCAGACCGCAGCTTGCAGTAATGCCACCCCTGGTGTGAGGATCGTACCTCTGCCCCGTATGAGGATCATGCCACGGCCCACAGCAATGCCACCCCAGCGCAAGGCTCGCACCACTGCCCTGCACAAGGATCACACCGTGGCCGGCAGAGATGCTGCCCTGGTGCAAGTCTCATGCCACCGCTCCCGTGCAAGGATCACGTTGCAGCCTACCTGCCGCTAGCAGTGCTGCCGCCCCCGTGCAAGGTTCATGGCAATGCTGCCACCGGCGCGATATTAGCAGCGCTGATGCCACCCGCATAACACTCGCGGCAACGGTGGCACAAGGGGGAGTGAGCACATGCGCGTGCACTGCCCAGCTACTCATGCTCGGCAGCCAAGAGGCTGTGGCCCACTATTGGGCCACAGCCCATAAGTTGGCGACCTCTGCCCTAAAGGAAGAAGGGAAGTTCCATTCATATAACAGTTTCTTTTCGTTTATCCTGCTTTTCTTCCTATTCTGTGTCAATGCCTCACAATGAATTGCTGGATTGTTCTTTTGGTTCTGATTAAAAGCACGAGATTTAGGGCTTAAATTTTTCAATCCAAACATTGCTATTTTCTAGAATTTTCAAGGACAAATTGGGTCATTCAAGACTATCATAATGCCAATTCATTCTAGAGAAATATCAACCTTTTTTTTTATTTTTATCCCACATAAATATATAAAAAACAATGAAGAAAGTGAAAGATCTTAGAAAAACAGTCAAAATCTGAGCAGATACAAAACTGATTCATCAAGTGTTAAAAATCTGAAAGATTAAATAATTTCTAATATTGCTTAGAAAATATAGTCATAAATAGGAATGTCTTATTTCCATTATTCAAAATGTCTTATATTAATTTTATTTCATAATTTATGCTCTTTCTTCCTTTCTGGAGCTCAAGGCTTAACAGAAACTAGGAGCATTTTTTTCATATCACCTACCTGATGTGTCCCATTTGTGCTGCTGCATGGATAGCTAGCTGCCATTCTTCTTCATTGCAGTATAGGTTTGGATTGGCTCCTTCGGCTAGTAACAGCTCCACACATTTGTCATTGCCTTCCTGGGCTGCAATGAAGAGGGGTGTGGCTTGATCTTTAGCTTGGCAATTGATGTTTGCTCCTGATGAGGAAATTTTAATAAATTGACAAGGGAATTTCAATAAATTGATAAAGACTGACCAATGCAAATGCTCTTCCCTTTCAATGGCCCACTAAACCTTATTTTTATAATCTATGCTTAGACAGGAACTAGTATAACTACTGGGATTACAATAAGGTTACTGAATCTTTTCAGGATTTCTACAAATCTGCAACTGTACCCATTTATATCCGAACACAAGGTATTAAATGCAATTCAAACATTATCACCTCACGTCCCTTAGCTTAGGAACAATGTTCATCATTCTAATCTGTCTTCAAAAGCTCTACAGAAGAACTGGATCTTTACTGCTCACCAAAACAGTCATAGGGACAGAATCATCCTTATTTTCAGGTTCAGTTAGGCATTTATTTTAACACAGTAAAGTTTAGCAAGACTAACATTCAGACTATGAACATTACAGCAAAAAATGCACATAACTTCTGATAAAAGACTCAAGAAATAGCAAGATCCTATAATTCTAATTACTTCATGTTTGATGTAACCACTCATTGTTTTTTGGCTATTATTATTATCTATTCCCAGCTTAAATTCTTTATTGTCTAGTCCAGAGTTTCTCAACTAGGTTCAGTGGAACCGTAAGGTTCTATGAGAAGTTGCCAGCCATTCCATGTGAGACTACTTCTGGGGGGAGGGGGAGGAGCTCATATAAAGTTGACCATAGATATATCACTTGATCTCATCATACAACAAGAGATGTGTATAATCGCTTAAACTGTTTTTCACATGGCATTCTATTCTGCCAGTCAGTCCCTAGATCAGAGTCTTAACAGAAAATAAGAAGCTAATAATATAATCTATCTGCTACAATTCGCCCACAACTTCTACTAATGAAAGCCACAATAACTGTAGTTTTGCAGAAATTACCATATGATATAAGTATCCTTAAACATTCCAGTTTTCCATATTGTGCAGCAATAAATAAAGGTGTGATCCCAAAATCATCTACAGACTCTTTGTTGGCTCCTTCATCTAGGAGTAATTTCAATATTTCAGAATAATTCTAAAATGGGGAGAAAGATAGGTTGTTAAATACAGCTATAGAACTGAAATCTTTCCACTTTGGTTATTATTTGTAGCCAGTTCCTTGGTCCCTTAAAGATAAATTCAGCTGATGCTAGCCCATTACAATATTGCCAATGAGAACAGAAAACACACAATGGGATACAGACAAAATATAAGCCAAAACAGATTTAGAGGACTGCCATTTTATAATGCAGCCTTTTGTTTCTTGTAACATTTAATTCTGCTCAAGTAAAAGACTGATTTACTAAAGAGTTTTTAAAGCAGTTCTCAAGGGAGAAAAAACAACAACAAAATGACTCTATAAGGTTTGTTTGGCTTTTTTAGTCTTAAAGGCTAGATGGATATAAAGATAAATGAGAAATGAGCTAGTTTTGCTATAAAACCTTAAAAAATCAAAGCAATAGAATAAATCAAAACAGGATTTGAGTTTTACAGATGTGGGATGACTAAAAGTCTAACAATCTCTCAGGAAGATCTTAAAGACATACATGGTAAATATATAAAGGCATTAAATGAAAGGGATTTCATCAAAATTGTAACTTCCAGTCAAAAAGTCCCCATTACTTAGAATTCTCACTGGTTTAAATCCAGAGGTATTTCTGCACCATTTTGCTCATGCAGTGGGGCTTTTCTAATTCGTCCTTCACCTTCCCTTAACAGCTTCTTCATTCAAAATAGCACAGGATCAGAAACAAAGGGTTGAATCAAGTTCACTTGTGCGTGAATATATAGATATTACAGTTGATTTCAACAAGATCTGTCCGCCACAACCCAAAGAAGTCATTATAAAAACGATTACCATACTTAGAACTGTGGAATATAAATGTAAATGTCAAAATGCAGTCTACTACACCAAAAAACGAAAGAGATGGAGAGTCTATCTGAGGAACCATAGGCTGGTGCTCACTTTTTAAATACCAAAACCTATGTCATTTTTTTGATGGTCTCGGTGTAATGGGACCAAATAATTAGTTCAAGTGAATTATTGTTCAATAAGAGATTTATGACCCATATTACATCTGATAATTTCTTGAATATGCGTAATACTTTTATTATTTAAAAAGTATATACTCTCTTCAGCTTTTGCCATATTGAGGATGATCATTTGCATTTAAACTGAGTTTCCTGTACTAACTGTCACAGATCAAAAAGTAAATGGCTTGGAAAAACTATACAAACCTGTTCTTTAAAGAGAAAAACTTTTATTCACATGGAAATGAAATTATGGATGTATAGCTTACCTGAAAAGCTGCCTGGTGCAAAGAATTCCATTCAGACCAGCAGTGGGATCCATTAAGATTGGCTCCATGTTGAAGAAGAAGCTTAATCACGTTAGTATGTCCTTTTTCAACAGCTTCAAAGAGTGGGTTAAAAGCTATTATTATTATACACTACACAACCCATGCCCCTCTGGGTCATCATTTCAGAGATATTTTCTTACCTAAACAGAGAAAAAGAATGACCAAGGGCAGGCAAAAAAACAGTGGGAGCAGGAGCAATTTCCAACTTCCTGCCAGCTTCCCCATTGAGTTTCCTTGTAAGAATCTGGCAGGGAGTATTGGAAATCTTCCTTCCTGCCTTCCTTCCTTCCTTCCTTCCTTCCTTCCTTACTTACTTACTTACTTACTTACTTACGCTTAGAGCCTTACTATTTAAAAATTCATGTCTGTTATGAATTTGTCTGACTATTCAGAAATATAGCAGATGTCCTTCTGAAGATATGCCTGTTGGTTCACAAGAAAGGGCTTTTTTCTTTTTTCTATATTGCTCCCACGCTATGGAAAGCATCCCTTTGGCAGCTGATTTTGACCACCTTATATTATTTTAAAAGTCTTGTTTAAGATTCATCTTTTGTTAGGCTTTCAGTTAACTAAAAAAAAAAAACTAAAAAGAGATATTAATTTATCTTCCTAACAGCATGTCATAGATCTCATCTCTGGCAACAAATACAATTATTATTCAGTAGTTTTTCATTCATGCGAAGGCAGTTTTGGAAACATCAGCATCACTGCAGTTATTATTCTGTAGCTTCATCAGCAATTCAAAATCAGATAGCAAGAAGATTGAAATATCTTGCATATACTGTATATATGAAATGTGTAAACAGACCAAAAACATATTCAGAGAATACTTTTCTAAAATGAAAAAAATCTTGAATGCTTATATTATCTGTGCTATTCTTTCCTACAAAATGGAAGTGAAACCTTTTTTTAAAAAATGATGAAAATACTATATGCACTTAAAAGCCAAGTAGGTTCTGTGGATTGCACCCAATATTCAATTCACTAGTAGAAATTTTATAACTGGAAAGGTTCTTTTTATTCTATTCTCTCCAATACAGGAAATTTTACCAAGATGGATGATCCTCCAGATCAGAATTGAGACAGGAGATACAGAATGGGAAAAAAGAGAGAAAATGATATACACAAGTAGCACATGTAGGATATTTATTTATTTATTTATTTATTTATTTATTTATTTATTTAGCTAGCTATCCATCTTACTGCAAGGTGACTCTGAGTGGTTTACATTATATATCTAATGTATATATGTCTACTGCAATATAAATTCATAACTCTAGGAAAAGAAAGATGGATCTTAGTGGATCAGAGGAATGCTGTGGATATAATTTACTTGGACTTCAGTAAGGCATTTGATAAAGTAGATCACAACCTACTACTTGGCAAGATAGAAAAATGTGGGGTAGACAGCATCACCACCAGATGGATCCGTAGATGGCTGACCGGCCATACTCAGCGTCTGGTCCTCAATGGAACCACATCTACATGCAGGGAAGTGTGTAGTGGGGTGCCCCAGGGCTCTGTTCTGGGCCCAGTGCTCTTCAATATCTTCATCAACGATTTGGATGAGGGGATAGATGGGGAACTCATCAAATTTGCAGACGACACCAAGCTGGCAGGAATAGCCAACACTCCAGAAGACAGGCTTAAGATACAGAAGGATCTGGACAGACTTGAACATCTGGACAGACTTGAACACTAACAAAATGAAATTCAATTCTTACCTACATTTAGGTAAGAAAAACCAAACACACAGGTATAGTATAGGGGGTACCTTGCTCAATAGTAGTAACTGTGAGAGGGACCTTGAAGTCCTAGTGGACAGTCATTTAAATATAAGCCAGCAGTGTGCTGCAGCTGCCAAAAAAGCCAACAGAGTGCTGGGCTGCATTAACAGAGACATAGAATCAAGATCACGTGAAGTGTTAATACCACTTTACAATGCCTTGGTAAGGCCACACTTGGAATACTGCATCCAGTTTTGGTCACCACGATGTAAAACAGATGTTGAGACTCTAGAAAGAGTACAGAGAAGAGCAATAAAGATGATTAGGGGACTGGAGGCTAAAACATATAAGGAACGGTTGCTGGAATTGGGTATGTCTAGTTGAATGACGAGAAGGACGAGGGGGGACATGATAGCAGTGTTCCAATATATCAGGGGCTACCACAAAGAAGAGGGAGTCAAGCTATTTTCCAAGGTGCCTGAAGCCAGGACAAGAAGCAATGCATGGAAACTAAGCAAGGAGAGAAGCAACCTAGAACTAAGGAGAAACTTCCTGACAGTTAGAACAATTAACCAGTGGAACAACCTGCCTCCAGAAGCGGTGAATGCTCCAACACTGGAAGTTTTTAAGAAGAGACTGGACAGCCATTTGTCCGAAATGGTATAGGGTTTCCTGCCTGAGCAGTGGGTTGGACTAGATGACCTCCAAGTTCCCTTCCAACTTTACTATTATTATTATTAATACTATGAAAAACATGCAGCAAGGAAAATTACAGTGAAAAAATGGTGAGTAGGGATTGAAGATATAAGGTCCAACAGTGGTAAATGCTTCTAATCAATAAGTTAATTTATAAATTGTGGAGGTTCATTACTATCCTGAAAAGGTGGAAAACTTTAAAAGGCATTGTTAAGAACAGCATTTTTAAAAAAACTTGTATGATCTTAAAAAGTTGAACAAAGGAAGAACTGAGAATATATTATTTCTTTCCAGGTTTTTGCCTGATTATTGCACTGCCAAGGCAGTTTCTATTTCACATTAAGCCAAGAATTTGCCTTGATCACTTTTAATTCTCCATGCAGATTTAACTCTCCCACAGATGTATTAACTCCAAAATCCAAAATCCTCACACATGAAGAAAATGCAAAGTCAGGAACTCTTTGAAAATAGATTTTATTGTGGCTGAAACCAAGTAACAACTAAAGCTACCACAGTAAAGAGAGGTTGGACAGGATTTCTAGAAGTAGCCAAGTTCAATTGAGAGCCTATGGTTTTCAGGCTGATTTCAGAGAACTCTTGAATTGCTTTGCTCTGAATGGAATTTTGAAAAAGAGGTTTCTCTTTTCAAACAAACACAATGCTCTTTTTTATCATTTGAAACAAAAAAAAAGATATCAAAACATCAAACTTCCTTTTAATAAATAATTTGAAACCCAGGCATGTTTTACATAATTCAAGACTGACTAGTATCTACATGAAGTATAAAATGAACCTTTGGGAGTTTATTTTTTTATATATATATGTATGTATGTATGTATGTATGTATGTATGTATGTATGTATGTATGTACGTATGTATGTTTTCTGAGGTTTTCGCGGGTGTTTGTATGTAGGTCTTTGGTTATTCGGGTTTTCTCCCGCGTAAAATTGGAAGTGTCTTGGCGACGTTTCGACGAAGTCTCATTCGTCATCTTCAGGCTGGTGCTTTCGGCTTCGTGCTTCTAGGAGCAATGTGTGGTTGTAGCTGTTTCCTCCTTTTAACTGCCAGTGGGGGTATCAACTGATTGGATGAGAGCTTGGCTGTGTTCTGATTGGATGGAGGTGTGTTCTGATTGGTTAGGAGCTTGGCTGTGCTCTGATTGGCTGGGGGGGTTGGCTGTGCTCTGATTGGCTGGGGGGTTGGCTGTGCTCTGATTGGCTGGGAGAGTGTTCTGTTTGGGTGGGGGCTTTGTTGTGCTCAGGTTAGTCTGAGTTGCCGGGGGTTTAAAATGGTGAGCTGCATTGCTATTTTTTGGCTTCGCGTTCGTGGTCGTGCCTCATCTTCATGGTGGGTGTCAGTTTGCTTCATGTAAGGATTGGAGGGGTTTAAAGTGGCTAATGATGTAGCTGTGGTCTGGCTTCTGGTTTGTGGTTGTGCCTCATAATCGGTGTGGCTTTGGGTTTGCTTTTTGCATGGATGTGTGGTGGTGACATCCTGTGTGGTTTTTGTGAGTGTGGGTCTGGTGTCATTTTTTGTGTTAGGGAGTCATTTGTCAATAAGGGCAGGTTTCCAAATGGCTGGTAGGCGGGAGGTATCATCTCGTTTGTTCATGCTGTGTGGGCCTTTTTCTATCTCGATGGCTTCTCTGATTATTCTGTTATTAAAATGTTCCGTTTTGGCGATAGTTCTGGTCTTTTTAAAGTCAATTTCATGTCCTGTGATTTTAAGGTGTTGGACCAGGGAAGAAGTTGGTTCCTCTTTTTTGACTGAGTTTTTATGTTCTTCAATGCGTGCACTTATTCTTCTGTTGGTTTGTCCGATGTATGTGGTGGGACAAGTGGTGCATGGGATTTCGTATACTCCTTGATTTTCTAATTCAATTTTATCTTTGGGGTTTCTAAGGATGGTGGATATTTTTCTGTTTGTGCAGAATGCTGTTTTGATGTTGTGTTTGTGGAGGATCTTACTGATTCTGTCTGTGGTGCCTTTTATGTAAGGGAGGAGGGCTTTGCCATTTTCTTGTCAGAGCACAGCCAAGCTCCTAACCAATCAGAACACACCTCCACCCAATCAGAACACAGCCAAGCTCTCATCCAATCAGTTCATACCCCCACTGGCAGTTAAAAGGAGGAAACAGCTACAACCACACATTGCTCCTAGAAGCACGAAGCCGAAAGCACCAGCCTGAAGATGACGAATGAGACTTCGTCGAAACGTCGCCAAGACACTTCCAATTTTACGCGGGAGAAAACCCGAATAACCAAAGACCTACATACAAACACCCGCGAAAACCTCAGAACACACACACACACACACACACACACACACATATATATATATCCATCGTATTTTATAAATTAGATCATCACCACAGCTACATTGCATTGATCAGCGTTCTGATTTCTAAATTGGGGAATGAATATGTGTTTGCTTTACTGTAACTTTGAGGTAAAACAAGAAAAAGAATTCTATTATGCCTACTGATGTACAGCAATATTACTCTACACTAATCAGCTAGCAATGTTGATATTGGGGATAAATTGAAAAGTCCTGTATAAAGAACATTCTAATCTATAGCAGATCATTGCAACCAGCAGAAAATCTCTAATTACTTAAGAAACAATTGTTCA